GATTCAGCTCGAACCGGTGTCCCTGGCACGGGGCCGGGCTGGCTCCGGTGACAGGGACAGAGCCAGAGGGCTTTGGGATGCACCACGAGTGTCTGTGGGGATCTCGGGTGGCAGCAGGGCAGGGCACACACTGAAACCCAACCCAGGGGTTGGATCCAGGCAGCGTCAATCCCGTGTGCCGGGAGCCAGCACTGATCCCAGCGGGAACAGGGAGATCCTGGCACACTGGGAGCTTGGAGTCTGTGTGGGGATGGAGACGGGAGGAAACCTGGAAGGTGGGATGGGATGGCCCAGCTGGGCTTGTCCGGCAGGGCAGAACCGGGAGTGAAATCCCGATTGTCCAAGTTTTTGGTGTGATTTGTGCACTGAGAGCACCCTGTGTGTGGTTGTGCTGCAAAGGAGGGAATGGGACCAAACCTGGCCTTGGACACTTCCAGGGATCCAGGGGCAGCCACAGCTTCTCTGGACAACCTGGACCAGGGCCTGCCCACCTTCCCAGCCAGGAATTCCTTCCCAACATCCCATCTAGCCCTGCTCTCTGGCACTGGGAAGCCATTCCCTGTGTCCTGTCCCTCCATCCCTTGTCCCCAGTCCCTCTCCAGCTCTCCTGGAGCCCCTTTAGGCCCTGCAAGGGGCTCTCAGGTCTCCCTGGATCCTTCTCTTCTCCAGGTGATCCCCCCCAGCTGTCCCAGCCTGGCTCCAGAGCAGAGGGATCCAGCCCTGGGAGCAGCTCCGGGGCCTCCTCTGGACTCTCTCCAGCAGCTCCACGTCCTTATCTTGGGGCCCCCAGAGCTGGAGGCAGCTCTGCAGGCGCGGTCTCACCTGAGAGGGGCAGAATCCCTTCTCTCCTGCTGGGGATGAGCCCAGGACACGGACCTTGGCTCCATCCTGCAGCTCCAAACAGGAAACTTGCGACAACCCCTGATTTTTCCAGGCCTTGAGACACCGGCAGTGCCAAGTTCCTGGGGTGGATCTCTGGAATTCTGTCTGTCTGTGCAGCACTACCTCCCTGTGTGCTCGGCCCCGGCCCCCTCTCCGGCTGCCCCTGCCGGGTTGGGGGCCCCGCCGTGACCCCTCCTTGTCCCCCACAGGTGCTGTCGGGCTGTGCCATCATCGTGCGGGGGCAGCCCCGGGGGGGGCCCCCCCCTGAGCGCCAGATCAACCTCAGCAACATCCGTGCCGGGAACCTGGCGCGACGCGGAGCCCCCGGCCAGCCCGACGCCAAGGACACCCCGGACGAGGTGGGTGCTGCCCCGGGGGCTCAGCTGGGCGGGAGGAACCCCCTCAGCTGCACTGCTGGGAGAGGCGCTGCCCCTTCCCAAACCTGCTGCCAGCGGGGGCACGGGCGGGTCCCTCCGACTAAGGGACGCTGGGGGGGGCACAGGGTCCCCCACTCAGGGGTACACTCAACCTTTCAAAGGGTTCTTGCCCTGCTCCAGCCCCCTGTGTGCATTTTGGGGTGAATTTCCCCTTCCTCACCATCCTTTGGTCACACATGTGCCCGGGATAGGACCAGAGGGGCTCGGGGGAGTTGG